CTCAATGTCTTTCAGTGTTTCAAACTGTCCACTGGCAGCCTCCTTCAATAAATAGCATCTCTTGCTTTATTTCTCTGCAAATAAATGTGCTCCACAAAAAAAAAAAAAAAAAAAACAAAAACAAAAAAACAAATCACTCTGTGACAAAGGGGCTGCAAAGATATCCAGGCAAGGACAGAACACGTGAACAGCCAGAGATCTCACAGCCACCAAGAAGCACATAAACAACCCCCACACAGCAAGCAGGAAGATTTGCTTCCAGCTTTTCAATAATAGGTCTCACTGGTCACTTCTACTCTCCCTAAAGTGCCAGTTCTGAACATCTGCAAATACAGGTTTTCTTATGTCTTAAGTCATTCTACATACCTAAAAATCTATGTAGCATCATTTTCTGAATCCTAGATTTCTATAAAAAGTAGTTTTTACAGAGAACCTTTGGGATGCCTCCTGTACCTGCCTCAGGGTTCACTACTACAGTCAATGTAACAACTCCAAATCCACCCTGCTGAAGTTTTGTATCATGCGTCTTCACCACCTTTTATCAGTGCTTGAGAAAAAGACTGCATGCAGATGGGCAGCTACAAAAACAGAGATCCTGAATATTTGCACTCCAGTTAATGCAGCCTGAGGAGAAATCAGCTTTTTCCTCTTTCTTCCTTGGAACCAGAGCATTGTGGACAAAAAACTGAGACATGTTCTGTGAAGGGTGGCAGCGCAATGTTCTCAAGTCTTTGTTTTTCAAAAAGGATTGTAACATTTCTAAACAAGACTTAGCATTCCAAGTGTGGGTAGCAAGGGTATAATAAGTTCAGTGGAATTTTCCATTCAGAAGTCTTTTTTTCTTCCCCCCACCTTCTACTCTTTCCAGAAGGAGAAGTTTTGAAGATTTCTTTTCTGTTCAAAATTAACTAGATGAGGCAACTCGGAGAAACATTCTCTAGCACAGTTAGCAGCTCTTTCAGTCACGCAATGAGACGACAAAAGCAATCTCATCCTTCCCCTACAAGTTGGTTTCATTTTCACTGGGCAGGAGAGATAAGCACTAGATCAACATCCACCAATCTCAGCTCACAGGTGAAGTCCTTTTACCTTTGCAATCTCTCCCACATCAGTAGCTGCCTAGATTAATGATGGCTAGTGATAGGTGCCAGGGCTTCAAGGGACTCACAGCAAAGTACTGCACATGATCGTAAGACGCCACATACCTTGTGTATGGCTTAAGCATAGCCTATGGAAAAAGTGAGTCAAACTTACTCATTACTCATAGTTTTTAAAATGACATGAGATTTGACAAGTACTAACACTCAAGAGTTCTGCTGAATGCATGCAGTCTTCATCAAGCAAGCAAAAAACAGATTTATTCATAGGTAGAAAATATTAACGACCAGAAACTGAGCAGAACAAATACAAGTAGAGGTGGAAGACAGATACCAGAGCTGGTTTTCTCTTAAAAAAAAATATATATATATATATATATATATATATATATATATATATATATATATATATATGTATAAAATCGGGTTACAAAGATTTCTTCTGAGAATTATATAAACAAAGACTCCCAAAACAACCAACCAACCTCAGACATAAAGCTGTTGGAAATACTGGTTTGACAAGGCAACAACCTTCCCATGCCAGTGAAGAAACTGAGGTGACACCCACATTTGCAATCAGATCAACAGCTGAGCCCTGTTCTTCAAGCTCACAACACACTCATCTATGTGGCTTCAGCTGGCTATCAACAAAATTACTCTGATCTGAAACACCAGAATGCATTTCCCATTTCTTAAACTCAGCTAAAACTCGAGGTTATCCCACACAATAGAACAAATATGCTCTTCTGTTCTCAGAGGACAGAACTGACCTTTCCTAACAGATCCACTGAGAACTAATTGAAACGCACTCAAAACATGCCAAGCCCATTCTCTACTTACAGGAAAAGTATCAGTGCAAATAATTACTAGTGATATGAGTAAAAGGTATTATTTTGTGTAAGGTCAAGTACACAACTATTTCTTAACTAAAAAAGAGAACAAACTCTTGCATCAGTGTCTGGTTCATGACACATCATTTGAGTTCTAAGGAAACAAAGGCCAGTTTGCTATTCAAAGCTTACTCAGCCCTTCTTTTTCAAACATGCAAGCTACGTTTCTATTGTTAATTGTATATAAGCACACATACACTTCTAAAACAAATCATGAAATTAGTAGGACATTAGTTCTAGACAACTGACATTTAATGTGGCAGTGCATTTGACATTACAGGTGACAGTGTGTTTTAGCTCAAATAAAGAGCCAGCAGTCCTTAAAGAACACACGACCACTAATACACTACATTTCTTTTATTTGGGGGCTATAAGTTGCTTATCATTCTTGGAAAGCTTCCACTAAGTGGTCACTATTATCTTTGAGGAGAATACTAACAACTAAAACTAGAAAGGTATCTTGGGACTAAATGCTGCATTACAAATCACATCAGCTTTTTTCTTTTTTGAAAACTTGATATAAACTGAAGCTGCTATTTCCTTTGCTACGATGAAAATCACAGAAGCATATTTATTCCCAGTACTTAACAACATAACATACAAACTCCCGCTGATTTCTTTATTCATTTTTAAAGCACAATTTACACTGCAGATAAGGGTGTGCTCTTCACAAGATTAAAGTCAAGGTCACGTACTGCACACACACTGCTGCCTGTAGAACAGGGATCAGTTTCACAGACTCCATGTATATTTTTAGAAGGGGCTGCTTGAGCCCTCAGCTAACTGCCCTTCAATTATAAACATGAAGATAAACCTTGGCTTAAAAGGTAACATATAAGGTTTCTGTAACAAAACAGACAGACAGACACCCTGCTGATTCAAGTCACTCCTTTCATCCCATCACAGACACTGAATGGAAAATCCTCAACACGCTTCACAAGAGCCTTCTGATACAATGAAGCATAGACCTCCCCCAGACTTTGGTAACATCACAAGTGGACCAACTCTGGAAGAAAAGCCTGGTCTCACACTAAGTCCAATAGCTGGTGTCCCAGCACACATATACTGTACTTTACTCTGGACAGATTCTTGGGCAGCTGTTCATACTAGAGCTACAACAGAGGTATTAACACCATAAAGTGAAAGCTGTATCACAAAAGGAAGGTTTTCCCCTTCCCCAGAAAGCACCATTTGCACAAGATGTCCTCAGCAAAGATCACCAAGTGTCACCGTATCTTTGCAACTGCTGACATGCACCAGGCTTTATTGCTATGTGCTGTCCATAAATTGCTAGCACTTTAAATACAGTTTTGGGCTTAATTCATGGCCATCTAGACAAGGACTCCAAAAATTTCTTTTCACATAAGTCAGCAGCAGAATCAGGATGATTAACAATGGAACAATCTTTGAGGCACATCCCAAACAGGCAGCGCAAGACATTGCTATTGACTACGTAAAACTAGGACCTGGTTGATAATGCTCTTTACCAGGAGGGATTAACTGCATGGAGTTGTTGCAGTTTGGAAGGCATCCAGCAGAGATCAATATCCAGAGCAGCTACAGGCTTCCTTGAGAGTCAGCATTTGTACAGTCAGGATTTACCCATAAAGCTGACCTGAAGCCAGCAATGATCCAAGACTCCTACTCCTGCCTCACCTCCTTCGTGTTCCTGAAACACCCACTAATTTCTTGTCAGAGAAGGCCCCTGTACCACTGAGCCTAATCTGTATATCAGCCAACTCCATTTTATTTCAGCACGGCAAAAGAGACCTAGAGCTTCAAAACCCATGTGGTAGCATCCACAACAAGGTGTTAAGACCTTCAGCAAACCCAACTCAGCAGCTCTGGACATACAAACACATACAAGAGAGGGGAAATCTAATCTTATATATTACTGCCACTTTAAGACACAGTTTCTTGACTACAGGAGAGATGACCCCACTTTTAAGTCAGGAATACCAGGTAGGACAACACAAAATATTGACAGCCATCAGTTCAGGACGCTAATCTTCCACATTGACACAAGGAGCTTCCAAGATGAATGGACAACTTATGAACAAAACATTACAATCTTTAAAAATATTTTTTAAAGCTCCAGAAATAGTATTTAGAATAAAAGCAGACACTCTAAAATTCTACAAATGGTAAAAGAAACTTCAGAAAACAGCATGATTGAAGTACAGCTTGGTAGACTACATTAGCTAAAACATTTCCAAACAAAGCTAAATAAGCTCCAAATGCTTTGCCTTTGCAGTGACCTCTAGCTGGGCACCAGGCACATCCAGCAGGCACTGCTCACCAGCAGCTACGCTTCATCTCAAAAACAGGGAGTCTCACGAGAAACAAGACTGACTTTCAGGAGTTCTGATGAGCCATCTGTTTAACTGTCTAAGCAACACCTCACTTATTTTTCAGAATCCTGGCCTGAAATTACCATCGAGTTTGTTATCCAGCCATCTCTGATGCAGCTAGCATTGCTGATATTTGAAATCAGCTTACAGACTCCTAGCTAACAGTGCAGTCCTTCAGGCTGCTGCTAAAATTTAGCTCTTTTCCATGTCCTCCTAGAGCATGCAACACCTGTGCTCAGATTCTATCACAAGATCTCCACAAAATGCACTGAAGAAGCAACAGTAGGGAACCCCTCACAGTAAGGCCAGCCTAAGGATCAGGATGCCCACACTGATGTTATTTACCTCTTTTGTTTTTTTTCCTTAAGTATTTTGGAACGCTCAGATCGTGGGCATCAACACCTCTCTTTACACGATTTTAGCAGCTTCATTACACCTGAGCTGAAGCAACAGGCACACGCACACACGGGTATCTGCGAGGAGACAGCTGCATAACCTGCAGAAATCATTTACAGAGACCCCTCAGCCGCAAGCCGCTCGCAGGCAGGGCCGATTCACCATTTGGACTCACATCCTCTATTTCTTTTTTTAAAACTTCTCTTTTCAAACCACCCGCTCCACCCCCGTCCCCGCCTCACGCCGCCGCGCCCCGCCCACGGTACCTCGGAGCCGTGGGAACTCGCGCTCCCGGAGGCCGCGCAGCTCGCCTCCGTAGCCATAGCCGGCAGGGCAGCTGCTCTGGAAGGCCCGGAAAGAGAGCAGCTCCTCGGCCATGCCGCAGGCTGAGGCGGAAAAGTGAGAGGCGGGCACAACACGGCGGTCAACTTAGTCCGGACGGCCGAGTCGAGCCGCCCGCCCGCTCTCGGGCCCGCGCGGCGCCCAGCCCGGCTCCTCCCGCCGCCCGCCCCTGCGGGGCAGCACCCGGGTCCGGGCCCGCCTGTCCGAGCTTGGAGCCCCGTACCCCAGCGCCTGCGTGGGGCAGGTGTTGCCCAGAGCGACGAGGTTGGCCAGTGAGCCTGCTTGCTCCTTGCCCCACAAACCTTTAAGTAGAGCCGAAGCGCGAGGGCACCGGACTTAGGTACAGGGCAACAAGCATCCCTCTTAACAGCTCTCGTGGCAGGCTGTTTCAAATAGGGATAACCTCCGTTAGCTCATAGAAACCTCTTTTCCTTAATGTCAATATCAACTTTTTTCATATCCTTCCCTGCGCG